ATTTTCAGTACCATCCGTCCTACGCTCTAAAGAAATACACGTACCAAGTTTCGTTAAGATATCTCAATTTTTACTCGAGTTATCGTGTGCACAGACGGACGGACGGTCAGACAGTCACCGCTTAATCAATGTATATTTTCATTCTGATCATTTATGTATACATTTGTCTATATCTAGCTCGATTCGTTTTGCCTGTTACAAACAACCGTTATATGAACAAAGTACGTTTGGGTATAAAAACGGCACTCACGTACACAATACATACATACACAAAAACGGCAGTAGGCTATCTCGCTTTGATTTCGGAATGCTTACACCAAGGCGAATTTATACAAGGTGGTGTTGACAGAACAAAAACAAAAGTTACAACAACAAATTATACGCACATTAACGATCAGTACAAAGCAAAATTAAAACAAACACATCATTTTGACAAAAGGTACAAATTCGCCGTGAAATCAGCGGATTCGATAACACCACCTTTTATAGATTCGCCTTGGCTTACACATTGAGAAGTTAGCTTACTGCCAATATAGAAGAATATATACATATATGATTCGACGGCGCAGAGAGGCGTGGGCGTACGCAGGTAGGAGGGACGGGCGCAAAATTTGAGTGTTTTAAAGCTTTTGAGATGGGGAATTCAGGAAAAAGAGTCCCGTTTGTTTGAATAACTACCTTGACCTTTAAAATGACATTCAAAAATAGATGGTTTGAATTGTTATCCTTTTTTTGGCCTGAACCAGAAGCAATAAAATTTTTAAAAAGTTTTGAATCCGTATTTTTGCATTTCGTACCTGAAGGAATCTATTTCCTTTGTCGCAAACATCGAAAATTAATTTTGAATTGTTTTTAAAAAGTTTATTACAAACTGTTTTTAGTTAAAAATCCAAAAAACCAAAAATTCTACTTTTGAGTCATTTTAAAGGTACACTTAAATGAAAAATTTCCTTGACCTTAAGACAAAAGAAAAATCTTTGGATTTTTATACTTTTGACTTAAGAACAGCGTTCAATGAACTTAGCAAAATATTTTAATTGGTTTTATGGTTTTTGCTACCGTGGAAATGGATTCCCTGATGCAAAAACCGGAAAAGTATCTGTTATAAAAGTGCATTGCATACTGGTTTCAGGGAAAAAACGTATTCAATATTTGAAGGTCGCTGGCGTTTAAGCAGCCATAAAGCACTGGCCGATTCATATTAGTGTAGGAAAAAATTCCGAAAGAAAATTCCCTTTGGTATCGGGTTCCGATACGAGTATTTTTTTCGATATCTACTCAGTACTTGGTTCGAAAGTATCAATACCAAAATTACTTGGTATCGAACAAAAAGTATCGAGTATGCACTTGTATTTACTCGTATCGTTGCATCCCTACATATACAGCCTAATCATGTATCTCGAAGCGAAAGTTCGTTTCGTCTGCCAGACGTTTCGTTCGTGTGTTGGTAGTATGTAAGTCGAAATCGTCTGGCAGCACGAAAACAGCTGATCCTTACGTAGTTTTCGTCTAGTTTGGAATTTTTTAAGGCGAATGGAAGACGAAAGTGAGACGACAATCGTTGAAAACAGACGAAAGGTTATTAGTGATCGTTAAGATGGAGGGTTCTGCCAGGAAAGGTAAGAAAATAAAAAAATATAGCTTGGTTTAAGGAAATATATTAATATTTACGCTTGTAGCGCTGAAAAAAACTACAACCACTCAATTTAAAGTACTGGTAAAAGAAATGGAGAGAAATCCTGACCTGGCCAGAGGTGTTGCAGTGTTTGGATCTGATCGATGAAGGGTAGAGGAGCGGTGGGAGGAAATTATGAGGAAAATTAATTCTCATGGTCCACCTACAAGAACGGCCGTCGAATGGAAGAAAGTAAGCATAAGTGCATAAATTGTATGTGGTAGATAAATGCTTGCGCACCATTTTACTGACATTGGATTTGATTTTATTTTTATTTTTCAAGATATGGGCTGACTTGAAAAGCCGGACAAAAAAGAAGATTGCCGAAAACACACGAAGCCTTACTGCTACCGGTGGTGGCCCATTCCGTCACTCTCCGCTTTCCGAAATGGGGCAGGCCATAGACAGCCTGGTTTTTATTTCAAGGTCAGCAGCCCCGAGCGGCAGAGTTTTCGGCATTCCTTCGACGGCGACCTCTAACATGTCAAGACATTCGTCGTTGGAGGAAATGCCTCCTTTACTTGTGACTGAATCGCCAACACTTGACCAACGAAGGCAACAAACAACCACCCTTCAATCTCCTATAAGGCACAACCAACCACCACCAGTGGGAGTAGTGACTCCCACTACACAGACAACCCGTCCTACACCAACGCACACGTTACGTTCCACTAATAGGAAGCGCACCTTCCAAGAGACAGTGGCTGAATCTGCCAAAGTCCAAGCAGAAGCCGCTAAAGTGCAGGCTGAGGCTGCAAAAAAAATGGTAGAGGCATCAATGCTGCAGGTGGATGCCACAAACAAATTAACTGCTGCAGTGGAACGCCAATCTGCAATTTTTGAAAAAATTTTGGAGTACTTCCGGAATTAATTTTCATACCACTATTGTGAGAGTATTGAAGTGACATTTTGTTTTATTTTGTGTAAATATTTTTTAGATTTAAGTGTGAATTGATATTTTTTAGCGTTTACTTAGTTTATATGTAGATTTAGGTTTTAAGACTGAAAAGATATTTTGTTGAATTTTTATGTAAATATTTTATTAATTTTAAGACAAATGAATTTTGCTGGTGTACCTGAAATCTAGACAAACATACTTTATAATAAAACTGCGTTTATAACAAACTCTCTGCTATTCTCATTCTAATAAGGGCAGCTGTATTCGAAATGTTACTGTTTTCAAGTTCTTCTTCGTAACTAACAAGATTCTCCATATCTGGGCTCTCCAATGGAATTTGATGTTTGAAAAATATACAAACGTTATGAATAGCACAGCAAACATTTACAATTTGTGTAACTTTTCTGGTGAATAGTGTAGCCCTCTCGAGCCAATTATACATCGAAATCGATTTTTCAAAACACCGAAACATCTCTCAATTACATTACGAGCTTTCGA